CAAATATTTGCCATTAAAGACAGCCTACCAACTTATACCTGATTAGTTCACCCATTGCTTATACAGTGATCAGTTTAAGGCAGAATGTTTTGAATAAAAATTTGGTCCCCAATAATAAATATTTTGAGGCAATCAGCTGCTTTTAAAAGAAATCAGAATTCTAAATACATATTCTGAGATGATAACTCACCTCATCACACAGATTAGCTTGAATCCTATGCATATCTGCTTATGAGATTTGCATGCCACTAGCCTTGAGTTACCTCTCACCTAAAAAAACAACAAGAATTGTATGTGAACTACTCTAGTGCATGATTTCATCATGATACGATGATAGCCCTACACCAGTAGGGGGTGACGCTACCTCCTTACACATTAGTTCTCCCCAAGCACTTGTGCTCAAATTAACTTCATTCTTTTCCTCAGTATTTACTAGAATGAACATGTTCCAAAATTGTTAATCAATTACTTGAGATTTGCAATAATTTGAGTTAATTTTTGTTCAAGTGTACCTGGTTTAGTTTCATGTTTGATATAACCATCATGGTTTTTTTATTTTTACTTAGGAAAAAAAAATGAAAAATTTGGTGACTTCCCACCATTATTAATTCTCAAGTGACAGTAACTTTCATGTTGTCCCATGATAGCAATGATGTTATTAACACAGGACCTGTGACTACTGGAAGTTCATTGTATGTGAAGGACATGACAGGCATTGTTCAACATGTTGCTGGATCTTTCATACGCACTGACCCTCCTCCTCTCATCCATTCAGCTGACACACCTTTTCTACAGTTTGAACATAATCAGGATGTTGATGATTTTGACTGGCTATTTCTCCCATCATGGTTTGCTCTAAGCACAGCTTTAACTGAGAAGGAAAATTCTCATCCTTCTGACTTCTGTGATATAATTTTACAAGTATGTTCTTTTCTTTCTCTTTCCCCTGTGTCTTTCGATTCTGCTTTACTTCAAGTGGAGCATGGGAGACCCTTGCCACTTACGAGTTCCTAGTTGCTGGAGTAGTGGACTGTGGAAAGTTCATCAATGATTGTGGACAGCACAATATGGTGGGTAGTATAGCTGCGGTGTCACTGTCTGTGTAGTGCAGGTCACTCCTCAAACATCTAGTGTGTCCTTCTCTTGAAGTAGACAGGTTTATCAACCCTGTCTCTGTCTGTCCAGTTAAGTCAGACACACACTGTATCGAGCCCTAACCTCACAACACTTCTTGGCTTGCCAGCTGCTTGTTTGCTAGTGCTTGGTTGGTTATGCAAAAAAATCGCCCATCCCTGTGACACTTGATGCTCTTTTGCCTTCCCCTCTGTTTCCTTCCAGGCAAAGAGTATACCCTGGTTGAGACGAGATACTGTTTCCCATGAGTATGGCTTTGTGGAGCCGCTGCCATCAGATGTCACACTCTATGGACTTTCCCTTCTGGTGCTTTCTGAAGGGAGCTCATTTAGGTCTAATCTTTGCACCAGCTCATCCACCATTTCAATGTGGGATTCTAGCTAGTTTGTAAGTGGAGGTGAGGTATCATATTAGAAGGTAAGATTTTCCTTTCCTGAAAATGTATTTCTAATAGATACTTGCCTCCACACACCTTCCCATCCATCCTCCCTGCTTCTGGTGCACTTTTTCTTGCCCCAGAACAAAGTTAATTCAAGTGCAGGTACTTAGGGGCATCTACTACGCAAGTGTTGCCTTCCCTTTGGTGGAAGGCTATCATTGCATGATGATAACATCGTGCACTAGTGTAGTTCACATTAAAATTTTAGGTGGGAGGTAGCTTGAGGCTACTGGCATGCAAATCTCATAGGCAGATCCTCGTAGGAATCAAGCCATTGCATGTGAGGAGTTAGCTATCAGAAATACATTCTCAGGTAAGGAAAATGTTAACTTTTGATGTGTGTTACTAATATTTGTTTATCTCTCTATGTTCTTATTAGTTTTTTTTGAAAGTCTAAAATGAATAAAATTATTTTAAAAACTGGTTCACAATTTTACTTGTAATCATCATATCTTGTGATGACTGATAAACATAACAACAACCTTGACAACAAATAAATTTATCCAGAATAATAATTATTTCAAATATAATTTAAACTTGTGTATGTATTATCATACAAGAAAACTTACAGGATGAACACCATGTTGAAACGTGAGGGTTTATATTGACTCACTCAGTTTCCAGTTCTTTGAAGAGTTTTTTTGTTAGGCAGAATTACATTGCAAACTGAAATGAGGGAATGCATTTGTGCAGAAAAAGATACAAGAAATACAACATTATTAATGTGAGCAACAATATGAGAGTGATCTCAGTAACAATATGTGTATGAATCTTTGCTTAGTTGGCTTGGTTGGCATAGTAATGTGTTTTGATGTATGCTCAGCAGCCAATCAGGTAAAAGTTGGCAACTTGAAATAATATCTTAATTAAATAGTATTTGGTTTTGGTTATGTGCTAGAGGAGTTCTTAACTAAGTAATTGAGAGAAAGATGAGTGGACATTTGTTATTAAACTAAAGTTGGGAAAAGTTGTATCCTTGGGGACTGTAACTGAAGATTCTGTTTTGTTCAGTAAACCTTGGTCATTTAGAATCTAATTGTTTGTTCCATAATTTTTGTTTTTTCAGGTGTTAGTTAAAATATGCTAGGAAGTACAAATTGAATCCAGCTTAGCTATCTGGATAGCAACACTTATGCTAATTGACTGCAAGGTCACCACTAGAAAATTTGCTTTGTTTAATGCAAAGTATACATGGAAAAAAGGGGGGAATGGGTTAACTTCTTTTTTGCATTTCACTGTGTGTGTGTGTGTGATATTGCTAGAACGTTTTGTACAGCTTTTTGTTACATTTTTTAATAGAATGTAATAAAACATTAGTTGTTTAATTCTGGTGGAGTTCATGATCTGTTAAAATCATAAAAGTAGATCCTGAAGATTCCCAGAATTTTCAGAATCCTATTATCCCATATAAACCATGGTTAACATTTTTTACTGGGTTTATGAAATATTAATTAAACCATTAAATCACCTAAATATTGGTTAATGTTTTTTCTTCACTGGATTTTCATGTGTAATTCATGTACATGTTTGTTAAATACTTATTTCAAGCTTTATGTTATTTGACACTCAGAAATTGAAAAGTTGAACTATATAACAGCCAGAATATTGACATTTTAATTACAACACAACCAAGTTAACTGTAATAAACAGAAAGATAATATAATAAACATACTATGAGATGCATCTTACCATAACTAATCTGACTTCAACTAACCTTTCTCTCTTTACAAAACACATGAAACAGGCAACAGAAAGTAATACAGTTTAATCTTCAGTAGCATCCAAAGAGTGGTTGTGATAAGATTTGAAAAAGGTCAGTAATAAGATGACTTAGAAAAGGAAGCAACAAATTCAATGCCTGACAAAATTGCACCATTGAATTACAAAAATAGAAACTAAACTTGTAGTTATTCTTCCACAGATTTTATTTCAGAGTTTAAATTTTTTCAACAATGCAAGTTTATTTAATTTTAAATCACACAATTTTTATTTGGTGTTGATTTCAGCATGCTCTGAACAAAACAGTGCCAATTTGAACTTTGTAACTTCAATACAAGTATAGTTTTATTTATATTAACCAACAATTATTTCACAACATTGGTTGTAATGATCTTATTTAAATTACCTACATCTCAGCTTTGATAGGGCATAGACTAGTGACATAATCACAATGAAATTTCTTTTTCTGCTCTTTTCAATTTTATGAGCCAATTTGACTTCTTGCACAGTGGAGAGAATAATCGTGTAGAGCTCAAATCAAAGTGATAAAAGCTTAGCTTAGTTACATTCTCGAAAATCTTTTCTTCTTATTGCATAGCTTTTGGTCGTTTTGATTTTTTTCATAATTCGTTTGAATTAAAATTCAAGAAGAGCAAAAAACACCATTTACAACTTCTCTTGTGAATATATACTTCAATATGTTAGAGTAACAAAAATGCTGACAAAAGTCAAAATTTATGAGCTTAATAGACACGTAAGACTTTACTGTGATTTATTTGAAATAGCTCATCATGTCAGAGAAGATCATAAGATAAAATTGAATAATGCTAAAATAATAGATATGAATCCATCTCAAGAACAAAAGAAAAGGCCTTTTATTTCAAGCAAATAAACACTCAGTAAATCTAGCATTTATATCAGCATTCAAGCAGTTCATTCAAGTCCTTGTAGGGTTAAGAGTATGGACAAGTCAATAGAATAACCTTTCTTTCCAATGAGACAATGCAAGAATAAGTCCTGGCTCCAAAAGCAGTCTTCCCTGAAAATGACATTATTTTCAGAAGAAGCAATCTAATTTGCTAATCATACTATTAAATATTCTACTAAGCTGCCCTTTTAATAACACAATTAGCAGCATAAAATACCCATTACTTCTCAAAGAGCAAAATTATGAGAATGAAAATGAATGCAAGACCAATAATTACACAGAATAAAAAAAATAGGGATTCAGCAAAAGTAACTAAGCAAGTGAGTTCAGAAGTGATAATGAACGTTGGCATATATTTTGTTTTATTTAGTTATACATAAGTATTACACTTCAAAAGACCTGACATTTAACTTCAAATTTGTGCTAGACATAAAGTTTACTAAACTTTGTTCATTTGCAGTATAGCACAAATAAAAAAGCTAACAATGTTAAACATATTGGAAAAATTTACTTAATTGGCCAAATAATAAATCAATACTTTATTAGGCATATCTATTTGAACATGAAATAAAAACCATTAAACTAGGCAGAAGTGCTGAGGGAACGTTTAAATGTCTTTTTCAGTTAAAATTCAGTGTTAACTAAATCAAAACAAAGTGTAGGTCTCAAAAGTTAAGTGCATCATTATACAGATAATTGGTATACCAGTTATGGCTCTCATTTAGTTGAATGGTTTATATCCTTTTGGGAAATAATAAGATTTTTTCCCCCCAAATCTAGAGAAATCTTTCAACAGGAACACCATGTGGTGAAGAACATGCTAGAGAATTTGCAAAGAGAAAAACTTAATCTTCAAGTAGAAGGGGAGCAACTGATGGTAGAAAAGTGAAGGCTGATGATAAAGAAACTTTCTGTGATATCTTTAGTATTTGTTAGTAGTACTAAAATATGCATGGACTTGTTAAGTTATATTGATATAAAATGCTAAAGCATTTAACAATGTATTATTTACAAATTTTACTCTCTTTCTGAACTATTGTAGTAAACTGAAAGTATATTTCACACTATGTATAACACTCCTTTTTTGGAATTTTTTTAGTTTCTGTTTAAAATTCTGACATTATCAAAAAGTGTTCCACCAGCTATTATGTCAGTGCGTGTAGTTTGTCACTGCATTAAGTAATGGTTTTCTTATCACATTTAACAACTGTATTTCTACCAGTGCTTTTAAAAATTTCATTCTTAAACAGAATACGTTCAAAGGTGGTGTTCAGTATTTTGTTGTTGTTATTACATATCTGTTTAATTTCAAATCTAGGCATTACAAGCAAAATTTACCTTTCGTAACAGGAAATAAAAACAGTGTTGTCTGGAATGAAGGTATGGAATTGAAATACAGGTGAAAATTAAATCATTCAATTAACTTTTAAAAGTTAATTTTTATTAATTGTTCAAATATTTGTTCATCTTCAATTTATTCAATAGTAAATTATTTTACTTATTTTTTTCTTTTAATTAATTTCATTAAAATATTAGAAAATATCAGACGTATCGCTGATAAATGAAATATTACTTCATTTAAGAACATATGATGTAATTGGACAAATGTATTATTTTCCAGTATCACTTCTAGGTATTTTCTGTTAAATGTGAAACAATACAGTAATTATCTCCATTATTAATGTACATTAGATATCGGGATAATTTTTTTTTATTAACATTTTTTAATTTTTATTTTTTACAACAGTGTCAGATGTGTTGTTACTGATAAGACTACATTTTAAACTGCTAATACTTTCCAGACTCAAACCTGTAGTTGTAAGTTAGTAAAGTAGCATAAACTTTTTAAACATAAGTACAAAAGTTAAAAACCATTTTATTATAAATACTTGATGCTTTTGGAAAACTAGGAAAAACTTCTTCTGTTTTGCATCATGGGAAATGAAGTTTTGTTTTCAGCAGTGCAGAAAAATATTATTTCTGTTTTTTATTTGAAGCAATATTTTTCAGAGTTGTCTTGTGTACAGCTCTTTACACAACATTTTATAAAATAGCTTTGGTGGTTAGTGCTTTTTTTCAGGATTTCTTATCTGAGTCTCAAAATATTGCTCACTTTTAATGGTACAATTTTTCATTGATATTTATATATAACAACTGTACTTGAAGCAAGCAAGTAAATTTACTGATTTTAAAATAAAACCACTGAAATATTTCTATTAACAGTTTGATGTTACCAATACACTGAAGTAGTTATTAAAGTGATTTAATCCACGCTGTGAGTATGTACAACATGTACTCTCAAATTTTTTTCTCTTTATAAAAATATAGGACTTTGGTGATTAGATACATTAGCATCTTGTAATGCTTAGCTTAAGTTATAAGAACCCTCTTTCGTATTATATAAAAATCTGTAAAATACCTGAATTAATACCTAGCTGTTTCTTTCACACTGTTAAGATTTATTAAATTTTCCTACAAGATCCATAGAATGAAATGATGGTATATGGAGTATTTTCATACATATGTATGTCTAGTCAGTTTCTTTTTATCTTTCATACGGTCTTAATAACATTTAAATTGTGTTTATCTTATCTCTAGTTTTTGCTTTTTATTATGAAGTTTTGCTCTCTACCTAAATGAGAAGGATCGAGGAATTTTCCAGTTATAGTATGAAATTGTGTCACAAGTTTTTTATCCGCCTTACTTTTATCTGAATATCTACATAGTATTCATATACATCTCTTATAATATTTGAATAAATATTCATGAAAGGTTTTTCTACTGTCATTAGATATAATTGTGGAAAGTTTGTGTTATTGTAAAGGTATTTGTTTTGTTGTTGAATATGATTTGAAATTTCGTCTGTTACTCAAACAGGCTTTTTTTTTTTTTTTTTTTGGGGTGAAAAAAATCTGGTCAATTTCTGCAAAAACTGACCAAAATTTAAAAAAAAAACTCGAGTGAGAATTTTTTCAGGTTTCGTTGTAAACATGTCTTTTTCCACTTAAAAAAAAATTTTCCCACTGCCAGTGATTCTGATAGCTCAACAAGTGATAACTGATCTTAAGATTTATATGTTGTTTCATGATATTTTAATTTTGTCAGAGTCTTACATTAAAGTTATGAAAATTTATTTGAAATATACGTTAACAGAGAAGGAAAGCAAATTCTTTCCTTTGATCTCTAAAAAATTCCTTGAAAAAGCTAATTTTTTGCACTGTTTCAAATTTCTTTGAAAATGTTTTTCTAAAGACTCAGAAATTCCCCCAAAAAAACTGAACATGATTTTTCAATAAAAACTGACTGAAATTCAAGAAAAACTCCAACCAAAAAACATTTTGGGCCCTGAAAGCCCTGAAAATATTGTCAAAAAAAAGCCTGCCATAAGAGATTAAATCAGTCATAGGTTGAATATAAAATTATAATTTAAAAAAGGCTCTTCTTTCATGTTCTTCTAATATTTAAGTTAATTCTTCTTGGGCATATATTGATGCTGATCAAAGTGAAACTTGTAGTCTCCCTACAGACCTAAATTATCTTCATATATGATGTAGACATGGAGCTACTTCTTAGAACTGGTAATATAATAATTGTGGGCCATGTAGGTATTTTTCCTCAAATTCAAATCAGTAATACACAATTTACATTATGATCTGTTTGGCATTAGAATTTTTTAACCTGAGGTTCGGGCATAGCCATCCCTAATCTAGAGCTTCTGACGAAAGGGGGAGCAACCAGCCAGCAGCAGTTATACAGTTGCTTTTAATTGATAAACAAGATTATGTATCACATTTATTTTGTCTCAACAACTGAAAATCAAAGCTCATGTGTTGGAATATCCATTCCATAGCTCAAGTTAAGCCATGTGTGGCCTTTGTAATCTGTGAGGGTATCAAAGAATTTATTCTAGTTATTTATTCTCCTTTTACTTCTTAAAGAGCATCTTTTTAATACTTCTGGTTGGTTATATACATGCCAAAACTATAAGGTACCCAGCTGAAGTAACAGTGCATTCTGATTTATAAGTAAGAGCATAAGAAAAGTATATTTAATTAGCTAGCTCTAATTAGGTAACTTGTTCTTATCAAAAGTTAATATTAATTCCACTGCATTTATATTTTATCATCATGCATGGATATAGTCATCTCTTTCTTTGTTTTATATGCTCTTAAAATTTTCAGTTTTTCCTTCATTTCAAAATATATCTAAGAAGTTTAGGGGTGTTTAAAATTTGAATAGCAGAGTAGGATACTCTTATTTGTGAACTGTTGTTTTGATGTTTGTTCTTTCATAAGACATGAATTTACAATCATCAAATTCATACATATTTTTATATATATTGGGTACTAGGAATACCAGAGATGCTTTTAATATGTAGTGCCTCTACACTGTATATATATATATATATATATGTGTGCCCATAGAAGCACTTTCTAAATTTAGAAACATTTGCAAAGTATTTTAATGTAATATGACCAAAG